ATTCCTCGTCACTCTTAATAAGTGGATCAGATCCCACTGTACCCACAAGAAACTTGGGGCTCAGCAGGGGCAGCCGGACGTGCTGCAGGACCTGGAACACAGAACAGAACGTTGAGTGGGAAACCACACACCCACTCAGATGCAAGAAGCCAAATGGAAAACAATACTGGCTAACAAATTTTGATAAAGAGTTAATCATTCCTCTGGCAAACATGCACAGTCACTTACGACACCCAAACCCTGGCATTTTAGCTAAACGCAGCTCATCTCACAGCATCTTTGCCTTCTCAATACACCAGTTTAGATATTCAACAGAAAAGCAGTCTTTCCAAGGGGACAATCCCCTCAATCTATTACATCTATTAAAAATCTGTTTATTAAATCTATACATATTAAAGCTGAAAACAAGGTCACATTTAAAAACCTTTACAAATTACAGATGTCAATATACCTGCCTGAAACACTGGTTTTGTTAGAAGTTTTCTCTTTCTTAAACATGACTGGTATTGTTCAGCATGCCTTTCACCAGGGTTTAGAATTTAGAGGAGCAAGCAGGTATAGACAGAGGGGCCTAAAAAGGCACACAGTTATAAGAGCATTAAGAACTACTTTGAGAACAGCAGGTTTTTCTGGTTTGGTTTGTTTACTTAAAATAATTTTCAAAAGCTTTCCACTAAATAAAGTTGAATTCAACATCTATTTCCCAAACAGAAACACTGAGGCAGGCAGACTCTCACCTCTTTTGATCACAAAGCCTGAGACTTCAGAGGCTTTCCAGCTGACAGCTTTGTCAGAATGGGTGCTTCTCTGTGAAATGGCTTGGCTCAGATGAAGCATCATATTTCAACAAAACCATTCTGACAAGCTCCAGTATAAGATCATGAGGGCTGAGGCATAAATCAAACAGCAGAGCTTAAAGATACAGTTCAAATGAAGACAAGCTTTTTCTTATCCATTATTTTTTTTCTACAGCACTCAAGGCAGGTTTGTCTCCACAGACTACAGGAATGATCTAGCTTGGCAAATCCTACCTGGAAACAATTAGACAAAGACTCTGTTGAAGGCTCCAGCCACTTCACCTTCCAGCTTACAGGAAGGGAACGTGCAAGCCACCCAACACAGGTGGCAGTCAGAGAATCACTGTGGTTTTGCATGCGTTCAGAACAGTGACATGGTCATGGCACCACACGTATCAGCCCTCATTTCTATTCCCCTGGATAAAGAAGCCTCAAATGTCACTGTGCTCAAGATTACCTGTGGCAGCTGGGGTCTTCTTTCCTGAATGCTGTACTTCACCCAGGCCATCACTGCATTGAACACCTGCTCTTCACTGCGAACATTTAACTCATCACTGGAGATAATGTCTATGAGCTGATTGGCAGGAAGCAGCATGAACTCCTCACTCTCCATTACCTGGTTAAATGGAAAGGGATAAAAAGAAAGTAAGGAGAGTGGCCAAAGCACCATTCACCACTCCAGTGCAGCTCTAAAGTGGATACAGTCTACTTGAATTTGAGTCTAATGGACTGATCCAGTGAAGTGCCAAATACCCATCACTGTTTTGATATGAACACAGGTGAAGGGTTTGCTGCACAGAGCAGAGGCAGTCACTAGCAACAAAACAGACACCTTTAGGTGTAAGTGAAAGATAATTTTTACACAAAGCTTTTTTTTGCAGAACACTTTTAAAGGGTTAAGCCACAGAACACACTGATCAGGTTTCAAAACTTGGGAAATACACAGCCTTTATTTAAAATTTAGTCTACTTGTTTCCCGTGACTAATATATAAAGCAAATATAAAAATGTGACTGAAAAGTGGTGTTGGAATAGAGAGGCTCTATTCACAAGAAATTCAAAACAGAGCACAAAAATAAAATCTTAGAAAAAGAAGTTACCAGAGGCATTGCAGAGAATGTGAAAAGTCTTGCTGAATGCCCATTTGTGGAAGAACAGAAATATTTCAGGAGAGGGTGATGGACTCATCCTGCCTCTTTCATTTGCTCTAAGTATATACACATCTCCAAACACACTCTGAGGGGGAATCAGAGCCTCCTAAGGCCATTAAGGACTGACCTATTCTGAAATTCAAGCCAGCAACAATCTTCAAAAATGTTCACTCCTTCAGTGCCCAACATAGTGACCAAGTTTCTCAGAAGGTTGTTTTTGTTGTTCACATAAGCAACACACCTCAAAGCACATGGGAGTCATCTGTGAACACCTTGAGAGGTTACAGAGCTCCCACCACAGCCACATCTTCTGCACTGATGCCAGGTAGATAGGAAAGATGTTGAAATCAAGACAACTGCAGAAATTGTTTAATTGGTAACTGCCAGTTTGGCTTCCCTGAAGCACTCCCAGTCTGTAGACTGTTACCTGAGAGGCTCAGTGACAGAAAAATAACTGAGTATCAGCTTATCCTTATCATTTGCAACCACATTAAAAATCCAGGACTTATTTTATGATTTGCAGCATAAATGAAAGAAAAACAGTGTCAGACATGATCATCTCAACAGCAGTCAGCTGTGCAGTCCTTTTAATTACCTAAAGGAATTAACTAAGAGCACTGAAGAAAAGTACAAAAACTGCCAAGTATTGACAACAGCAAATATAGTTAAAAGAACAGAAAAGGCAGTGAGATCAATTACCAGACTTTGGTTTAAGATCAAATGGGCTTTCAGGGGCAGCAAGTATCATATCTAGGATAGCCCACAAACTTCTGCCTTAGAGTAAGAATTCCAGGGCCTGGTCATTCCAGATTTTATTCAGCATTTTTCTAGATGGACTAGCTTTTTTTAAACTTTACCCTGACAATTTGTAAGGGCAGCCTCAGACTCTAGAGAACAAAGGCTCTGGAAATCTTTGAGTTAAGGATTGACATGAAGACTCTCTCACCCTCAGAAAACCCAGCTGCACTGATGGCAAACCCAGTTATTACTACTGTGCAACTTGCTAGTTTACATAGTAAAACAAATAATGATTTTTAAATGCTTTGGTTTAGTTTGGCTTAATTATATCAGGACTAACAATTATCTGACTAATACTAATGGCCTATTTGTCTGACTTGCTTATTAAACAAGAATTGGATGGGCTCTGCTTCCTCTACAGCATTCATGTACTTTACTGCATTTACAGACAGAATAAATGTCAGAGTATGAAATAAGTGCCATTTTTGTCTGGCGACACAAAGTACAAGTTGTTCATCCTTAAGTATATTTTTTTCCTTTCACACAGATGACAGAAACCAAACAAAAACACGAAGGCGGTTCCTGTACAGCAGAGCTGTTAATAGAACCATTTTACGTTACATGCACAAGATTCACTAGAGGTTTTAGGCAAGGAATTGGACTAGGGGAATGAAAAACTTGGAAAAACATTTTTCCAATAAGTTAATGATGTAATGCAGCAATACACATAAAAACTAATGGAAGTAGAGTTTAGCACCACAGAGGACGTGAAGCAATTCAGGCTGCATTCAGAGAAACTGCATGGCTTGGCCTGGTGCCCAGTGCTTAATATTTTGCACTGCTGTTCAGGAGATTCTCATCTCACATTTCTTTGTGCCAGCTGGGAGGAACCATGACCATACAGCCTCTGCAGAGCAGGGCACATTTTATATCAGTTCTCAGCCTCCACAGCAGAAGATGATTCAGTAGCCAAGTCAGTAGCTTCCTAAGCCACTCTCCAGATGGAAAATAATGGCAGAGCAGAGTAGGAGCCCAACACATTAAGCACCATTAAGATTGTCTGCAGAGAGACAGTGGAAGTGAAAGAAGTGATCACGAACAATGAAGAGCTGCAAAAACTCCTGGGGCACTGCAAGGGGCACCAAAACTTTCCCAAGCCAAATAAATAGTGCTCTAATCTAAGCAATTGTTTTCCACAGGTCATGATTCAGCTAGGTCAATTATCATTTGCTTCATCTTTGAGGAGGAGAGTGTTTTCTGAAGTCCAAGTCTTTTGCCTTTGTGTGCTTTAACAGGAATAAGGAAGGTGGGAAGCTGTCTTTGGGGGACTGTAGAAGAAAAGAACCTCATAGCAGGAAGCCAGCTGCATGTATTAATGTGAAAACATTTAAAACCAACATTGTTATGCTGTTAACAAGTTATTTAGAGGCTTGTAAGCATGCCCTCTTCATGTCATAATGAGACGAGCACAGATCTAACCAGTAAAACAACCAAGCACTGAAAATAAACAACCATTCTGCTCCCCTCCACCCCAAAAAAAAAAAAAAGAAGAAATGCAGAGCAAGCAGGGAGTACATGAAATGGCCAGCTAAAATGTAGGGCTTTTGGGAAATCACCAAGTACTACAAAAAACAAGCTCTTATCTTACACAGCAACTTCTATTTTCTAACCTTCATGGTTAGGAAAGACTTATTTAACTGCAACCTTTAGAGTAAACTTATGTCATGTGCCTACAGTTAAATACCAAGTATTATCTTCAATGTGTCCAACAGTCAAGTTCAATTCTGATTGCTTCTGCTCATAATTTTCTTAAATACTACCTGACTGAAATTAATACAATTCCAATCTACTTCCTACAGGGGGAAAAAAAAAAAGTCAGCAAGCTGCAATCAATCATGGCACTTACATACTGTCACTTCCCTGGGGAAACTAAATTAGCATCAGGAGTTGATACTGGAGTTATTTCCCTTGGAAAGGCTCTACCTGCGAAGCAGGTGGAAAGAGGAGATTTCTCTGCAGAAGGCTACCTGTTCCTGGCATGGAAAAATGCAGTTTCTGGAAAAGCCAAGAGACAAATCTCTAGCTTCATGCTGAGCACACTATGCAAATTCTTGCCCTTCCAACCGGGGCTCAGGAAAGAAACCATCTAACAGTGTTAGGCTCCTTTCTGCACCTAGGTGTAACAGTTAAGTAAAGACCCACTCTTCTCAGGCTATTGATCACAGAATCCTTAATTATTATGCTAGTCCATCTCTGAACCAGTTGCTGGTAGTTGTTTTTTTCCTTCAAAATCATCTAGACAGAATTAGCAAAGGAAAAGAGACTTGGATTTATGAAGGTCAAATACAAAATTAAACATCTGAATTACTATGAAACAATCTACTGAATAATAGATGCAAACCCCTAGTTCTGCCACAGCGAAGGAGTTGAAGACTCCACTGAGGCAGCTGCTTGGCTTCCCCATACACCCACATTTCCAAACTCTAAACCTAATACCATTTTCTTTTTTCTTTTATTGATGTATTGTCTTTACTTGAAAGCCCATCTCGCCTCCAATCCTGTAGAACCCAGACCATTTCTGGAAGGGGAGCAGAACGCCACTTTATCATGCAGCCATGTCAGATATTGTACCAAACAAGTGCCTTGCACTTGGCACTAACCACACAACCCTGAGAGAAGAAATGCTGCAGATCATATACAAACCACCAGTGTAAGGACCTCTTCCCTCCTCCTTCCCCAGCTAATGCCTGGCACCCACCGCTCTTAGGGCACAGAGCAGATTTAAAGGCAGGATTTGGGAAAAAGCACAAAATTACAAGTTGTCCAGACTCTCAGAGAATGCTTTTTATACAGCACAGTTGCAGCACAACTGCTTCTTACCTCCTGGAAGTTATGCTGTGTGAACTTGTCAGCAATCCTCAGCAGTTCACGGCACGAGTGAGTGTCAGCAAAGGCTCGGATCCCCAGGCAATTGGAAGGGTCCAGCTGTCTCTTGAGGAACTCGCAGCAGGCCTCCTGGATCTCAGCCAGCTGGAGAAGACAAGCCGCCGGCAACAAGGTCTGGACATTTCCCTCTTCCACAGTGATCTGAGAGGTGTATGCAAAGTCAATCAGCAGTTCCATGGCCCTTTCGTCGATGTCTCTGATCACCACCTCCGTCTGCCGACTCTCCGCCAGCTCCCCGGTGAACATGGCTCGGAAGTAAGGGCTGCAGGCCGACAGGATCACCCTGTGGGCGTAGATCTTCTTCGCACCCACTACCAGCACCACATCGCACAACTCCCGGTGCTTCCGGAGGAGGTTGATGACTTCCAGAGTCTGCCGAGGGTGCTTGTCAGAGACGTAGGGCATGCGAGCCGGCTGCGGCACCCCCTCCGGCAGCTTGTTGGGGTCTCCGAGCGTGCAGCGGCTGGTCACGTCCATTCCGGTCTCTCCTGGCCGAGCACTGGTACACCTGGAGCGGAGGAAGCCATAGGACAGGATCATTGTCAGCTCATCTACCACCACCTGCCCGCCGAGGCTCTGGGGCTCACACCAACTGCAAGCACAAAAGCAGCACTGGGATGTGGAAACAAGCACGTGGTCACGTGGAAGAGGACTCTGCCTCACACCAAAGTGTACCTAGAAGTAAACAAGTGACGGCTTTCAACAGGCTTGTATTTAGACCTATTTTTATATGCTTTCTATGACACACTGCTGTAATATCCAGCTACACATACATATTCATTAACTGAACCTCATAATAGCCTTGTGTGGTAGAGAAGTATGATCAAGTATGATCCCCATTTCATAGAGAGTGACTCAAAGCAGAGAAGATTAGCTGACTCGCCAATTGTCACTTGGGTTTTCTTTGACAGAGCTGGAAATGGATTTCCACTGCAAAGGTTTCCAGATGCATGATTTAACCAAACCAGTCTATTCTTCTATGTTTTTGACAGGGTCACTCATCACTGTGATAGTTGAACACATTAAACTGTCACACAGACTTCAGTAACTGAAAAGGGCCTGCAGCTTAGCACAAGTGTCTTTCAGGTTCACAGAATACCCATTTTATCATCATCTCTTCAGATATTTTTGAATGATGGAGGCTTTTGACTCAGTCCACCTTCTCTGACAAGTTCCAAAAGAAGGTTAATCTTTCCCAAGAACGGCAGACTAAAAACTGCAGAAGGCAACTGGGATTACCCAACCAATAAGGAAAACACCAAAACAACTGAAGTAGCTATGACTACTGGCCTACCAAAAAAGGAAGAAAATAAAGTCAAGATTCTAACTCGAGATGAGGAAACACTAAGAATAGATAAACCAAGTTTCTGGCACAGAATAGGAAAAGCACACCATCTTCCCAGCTCCACCTGCAGTGTTCCAGCTATGTGATGTCCTTCTTTACAGAAATCCAGGTACCTTCCCCTTCCCCTTATCCTTCACATTCCAAAGCAGATGCCACCTCTGCCATGGCTCAAGTGCAACACCCCCCTGCACAGCAGCACGACAATGCTGACATGCTGTGCACCATGTATGCTATGAAGTCCAGAGAATGGGAATGCAGTATTGCCCCAACCCCTTCTGCAGGCATGAACTGAGGTGACATCTCATACCTCACTTTGTAGAGACATCTGCCTGCACCTCAAGCTTCACTGCCACGTTATGTCTGAAATCACTGCTGAACAAGAAGAATTCTACCCAACTCCATTTGCAGCAACCAGACTAAATAAGCAGAACTGAGATGCCATTTTGCATGTTTTGAGCATACGTGAATTTCTGCCACACATCATATGCACAATTATTTTAAAAGCCTTATCAGTACCACTGACATATCAACCACAAGAAAAACAAAGTACAGGAAACTATTCCTTCTTCCAGGGAAAACCATTACTTGAAGCAATTAAAGAACACTGAGCAAAATATCAGAATACTGACAGTTATGAATTACCCATTAATACACTGGCTGTTAGAGACATACTAAAAGACCCAAAACTTCTCCTCCATTACCAGTTTCTCTGGTATACTGGCATTTGCAAGCTGTTACAACTTAACTTCCTTCCTATTGACAGGTAAAAAGAAATCTACCTACTGCTCAATGTATTTTTCAGCATGCTTGAAGGTAAGAATTAAATAACTTGCATCTTTTTCCTCTCGTTATGATGTCAAATGCACTTTCTAACCACGGGGATACCAGTCTCTTTGCAGCAGTTTCAAATTATTCACTTGCATCTTAGCCTGTTTTCCCATTCTCCCCTCGCTCCCTCCTTCATCATCATATTCAGATGTTTCAGACCATTAACTCTTCCTCATATCTTAGTCACACAGATGCAGCTGGGTCTCCCCTCTGGGATTTGCTGCTTGCTCCTGTTCAGCCTCTGCACCTGAAATGCCTTGGGTTTTTTTATCTTTGCTCCCTCTCTTTTTAGATCCATCACTGTTCTCCTTTTCTGACATCTCTGAGAACACCTTCTGCTGTTACACTTGCTCTCCTCCACCCACGCTTGTCCCTCACAACCCAAATTCACTTTGTGGGGTTTGACAACTGTTTTAAAAGCTCTGCAAAGTTCCTCACCAACACTGCAGCTCACTGCAGCCTACACAACCTAAGTTGAATGGTACCACTACAAAAACCCCAGGAAACCTTGGCTAAAGATTAATTTACCTAACTGGCATGCTTTCATAGTCCTAAAAGCTAGAGGGTAAGTAATTTAATCCCTCTACCATGAGATGCAGGACGATGGGTGACAGAAACCCCCCTGTAGAGCCTAGCTCTTGCTAAGCAAGCCAAATGGATTTCATTGTGCATTAGGGCTTTCAAGCCATGTCAAACCAACATCTGGGAGAAAAAAGAAAAAACAAGAGCTCTATTATGACACACACTAGTGTAATAATTTGGAACACTTTGTCTTGATCAGGCTTTCAGTCAAAGCATCTAGGCAACAAACAAGAGTTCTTTGAATAAAAAGCCATTTCACTAAATACAGATCATAAGAGATGACCTATGTCCAGGACAGGACCTCCTTTTGGAGAGCAGAACCTCTCTGTTACACCTGTAGGCCTTCCTCAAAGACAACCCTCACTAAAATCAGCCCTAAGGCAGATCTGAGAGCTTTTTAATGTGACACAGATTTTAAATACAACAGAATTAGATTATGGCCATGCCACATCAGGGAATACCACCTTGCCAATCCCACCTCCCCAGACTCTCTGCTGACACAGAGCAATGGGGTGGACCATCTTATACCATGTGATTAGTTGGCGAGATTTACACAGTAGTCCTGGTCCTTCCTAGACAGGACAAAACAGGATTTTTCTGCCCAAATGAGACTCTACTGAACATAACTTTAAATTAACTAACTGAAAAGGAGTCTGGTGAGGAAAAGCTGGAGGCATT